GCTCTGTTGACTATGTGTTATTGACATATTCTTAGCTTAAAACCACTACCATGTTAAAGCCCTGGATTTAGAAACTTATTACAAGATGTTAATAGCTAAGCCCTAAGAGCTAAGTCATGCAAATATTGCGATCTGTGAAGTTGAATATACAAAAACTGTTTGAACTGCTGACTTAGTAACTGGAGTCTAAAAGCAATCTGTAAAGGTGGCAATAAATCTGAGCACAATCCTCCGCAATTGTTTTCTAATGTGTCCGTGAAATTAATGGCACAGTTGTTGTGAAAGTCGTATCAGGGAACGTGGCTATTTTTTTTCCCGAGGTTAATTATCACTAATGTAATTATTTTTGTACTGATTTTTATTTTAATCAAACATTGCATGAAACAATTTAGTTCAGAACAAGTAGCTTATTATAGAAATGTTTGTGGTAGTGAGAAAAAAGCAGCAATCTTTAAATTATACACATATATTGAGTTACTTTATTCATTAAAATGAACAATTACGTTAGGCCTTATGAGACAGACTAAGCATTTCTTGTTAATGTTTGTTCTGTAGTGAACATAATGAGAATTTATATTGGAAATGGATCACATCCCTCTAGCTCGAGGCATTTATGAACTAGGCAATACGTAGGAGTTGGGAGAGCTTGGGGAAAAAAAGAGTTAGAGTTAACCTCTAACCAAGACGGATGCTGCATTGCTCCGTGGTTGTGGGGAAGGCGCTGCATCTTGGAAAGGGCTTTTTCTTTTTTTGTGGTTTTTGTTTGTTTGCTTGCTTTTGGGGTTTGGGTTTTTTTTCCCTCTGTTCTGTTGTGGTAGGGCAAAACATAGTGCCCCACTGTAACATAGTGGCTCTACTGGATCCAAGTACCATGGAGCACGGCCTGCTTTGAAGTTCTTTTTTCATCAGTTGTTTTGAATGTCCTACAATGAACCAGTTGTGGGGTTTTTCTCCCCATTTATCAGATCAAATCATCAATGGATGACCTGTAATAGCATCGGTCTGCACATTGTACTGTTGAAGATGTGCCAATTAACATGATGATAAGTGGATGATGGGTAGATATGTGATTTCTCAAGACAGGTCTACAGCATCTAGTGCAGTCTAGGTTTCGCATCCTTCCCAAATTTGGCAGAATTGTAATGGAGGAGTCCATTGCGTCCCTCAGTACTGACTTGGTCAAGTGCTAAGTTCAAGATGCAAAACTGTTGGATAGCTGTGAGTACAGTGTGTCTGGCTACATCTGTAAGTGGTGTTGGTTTGGAAAAAATAAATTCCCTAATCCTCTGTGCAAGATTTGTGTTAATTGTAAAAGTACTTTCTCATGATTTATGAAATTGTTTACTGCTTTCTAGATTATGATTAGCATTTTCAGATAATCACTTTTTGATTATAGGATAAGAGTTTATTATATTTGCTTATAGAAATGTAGGATTTGTAAGTATATAGCACTCTTCCTCCATGGATATCAAAGATTTTGTAGGTCTTCGTTATAAATATAATTGACAGCACCTCCAGCTTATAGGTGGGGAAATGGAAGAAAAAAATACGTGAAATGCCTTGCCCAATTTGATCAAACTGGCCTGGGGGCATGGTCAGCAAAAGAGCATGAACCTCCTGAGTCCTGTATCTGCCATTTCTCTAGTTAATCTTGTCATCTGTGTTTTTAATAGATGTCGTTTAGTTTTGAATCTTGGCAAGTAAGGTTGGTTGCATGTTGAAACAGTCTTGGAAATCATCATCCTTAAAAGCATTTTTGTTTCTGTCACATCTCTCCTTCAAAAACAAGATGTAATGTGCAAGAAGTTTAAACTTGTCCTGGCAGTCTGCTGCTCCGTTTTCTGTGGTTTGTATCTCCGAACGCTGCTCGGATGTTCCTGATGCTGGTTTGCCGCCAGCGAGAGCTTGGGCAGGGCGCAGCAGTGTCCCATGGACACGTTAAGAAAGAAGCGACCAAACCAGCGCTGTGGTTCCTGCCCCTGAATGAAGTGCTCTGCAGTTTTGTTTTTGTTGAAGGGCCTCTTACAGCAGTTGTGGACAAAAGTTATCCTTGCTGTTTTATTAGGATTTTATGATCCTGATCCTGCAACTCTGAACTCAAAATCTTTAAGCAAGCAGTTTCCAGTTCATAGTGACTAAAAGTATTGGGAAAAAGTCATTGAATATAAGCAGGTTTAGATTTAAGTAAATGCAAGAAATGGGTGAATATAACAATTACTTGCCACAATAGAAATCTTTTTTAGGTTCAGGTTTTCAAAAGCTAAATTATTTCAAGGAAACTGCAGTAAAAGCTGGAAGAAGGAGGGAGGGGAAAAGGGGGACAGAAAAAAAGTACATCAGGCACAATTATTAGATCCTAAAGCAGCCAAATACACAGATGAACATTTTATTGCATTTGTTTGCATTTCTGAAAGGAGTTATGAAACAATAATTTATTTCAAAGACAAAAAATGTTTCAAAAATATTCTTTGCTGAGTGGGAAAAGTGTCTCTAGCTTGACTCAGATTCTCATCTCCCGAGGCCAGGCTCTGGTGCCAGGTGTTTAATCTGACAGGCAGTTTTCGTCATTAATTTTCTCACTGGAAGCAGCAAAACGCTGCAAATCTTTCTGAGGCCAGTGATACAGCGTTATCATGGTGGTGTCCCAGGAGACCAGAAAAAGGACTTTCCGGAATTTTGCCCGATCTTCTGTTTATCTCTTTACACACAGTATCTGCGCAGAATAAAGTACCTTTAGGCTGTCCCAACTACCCAGCAATGCCATGGAATACGTTTGAGAATATGGAAATTCATCCTTTTATAGCCATAAGGGGGGGTGGGGATATGATAAAACATTAATAATTCTGTGGTTCTGTGAGATATTAGCAGGCAGAAAATTGGTGAGAGTCCTTTCATCACTGGGTCAAAATCCATGTGATTAGGATGCCTTTCTCATTTCATATCGATGCGTGCTGTAAAAAGGGCATCAAGTAACTTCTATGTTTAATAGTTATGATAGAAAATGGAGGCTCCAGGCTGGATCGATGTGTCTCACTTTCTAGCTGTACAGGTAAGTTACAGTTACCCTGTCTCAGTCTACTTTTTAAAAGGGCAAGATACAAATCAGCGATTAGGAAGAGTAAAAGAAGATGCAAACTGTTGGTCAGTTGTTTTCTTAAGGAATCGTTATGAAATTTTTCACACCTGTTTTATGGGTCAGAAATCTTGGCCCTGGTTCCTTTTTCTCACCGTCTTTTTGGTTCTCTTTCCCGCTGATGTCTTTTGTCATGCCTCTGCAGCAAGTTACGCTCAAACGTGCCAGCTTACTCCAGCTCTCTTGCAAGGCATACGCACAACCTAGGAATTCAACTCCAGGTTTGTAAAGGGCTTGTTGGAGGAGAGACAGAGTCGGGCATAGAAATGGATTTCCTGACTCCTTGTAAGAGCTTCCAGTAAGACCAAACTACCATTTACCAGTGCAATTAAATGAGTCTTTGTATTCTCCTTTATCATCAGTATGCCTTCGGCTTCTGTAAGCTACATACAGTCAGCTCAGCACAGTTTGAAAGAAGAGTTCATGGATTTTTTTTTTTTTTCAGAATAAGTTGTGAATATTGAAGGTTAATGAAGTTTCTCGAGCAGTGGCAGATCTCTAGAATATCTGTAATTGAGGGATTATTTTTATAACATTCACAGTAAGGACTCTTGGTAGTATAGTATTTGAGCAGTGTGTGACTTTAGGGTGGGTTTGGTTTTTCTTTTTTCCAAATATATGAAATGAAGATGATACAGGATATATTCTGAATTAAATTAGGAAAGTCCAACTTAATCCTTCAATTTAAGACTTGCAAACCCCAGTCTTACTGTAATTAATAACCAAGGCAGCTGACTCAAGAAACTCATCTTAGAATTTTTTTACTTACAGGGAAAATAGTGGAGCTTGTAAGCATTTAAGTAACCTAAAAAAAAATAGCTGAAATGTTGTTTTTAATAACAATTATTTACATCTATTCTAGGAGACTGGGTTTTATATTTGGAAAAGACACACACACACACAGAGCAGCTATTGGCGACACTGAAATTTTGCTGGTCAGATGAGTTGGTAATTGGTGCAATGAATTGGTGCTGGGAACGTCAGGACCTTCCCAGTGGTTCCAGTCTGGACTGTTTCAGGGGGGCTTCAATGCTAAACCTCTCTTGTTCTTGGAAACTGGTTAGTGGCTTTAGTCTGGAATATTTTGAAATGATTTGTGAGACTAATTTTCTGCAGTACTTAGAAGCCTTTGTGCACATACTTTGGAGTTTAGGTTTCTTACGACTGCAGAACAAGTGAGACTTTCCATTTATTTAATATAATCATCTATAATTTGCATTCCCAGAAGCATGTATGGTATTTCAAAAGCGGAATGTGACTGTGAAATGAAATATTATCTAATTATTGCATTTTTCATTGATGACTACTTTCTTTGTCCTACATATTTCTTACATGGCTCATATTGCAGATCTTGCCACGTTCTCACTGATTCCATGCCCTATATAAGACACATTTCCACCTCATTTAAAATATTAACCTCGTCAGTAGTAGTTCCAAGAAGGGAGATCTCTTGTTGTGGTCTCGGTAAGAAGCCCCAAGCTCTAGATGCATGGAAAGCAGTTTTGTGAACATAACTCCTGCCTTCCCTCAAGCCATTGCAATGTTCTTGCTAATTTTCATGAAACAAGGAAGATGTTTACACTCTACTGTTTTATCTGATGTTGTGTGCCATTCCACCAGAATTTAACTACTAATAAAAATGAAAAATGAGGTTAGTAAATACAGTCAGGCATTAGAGTCCCACGTGAAGACACTAGCGTGTGTAGTTCCTGGTGCTTTTCCAGGAGTCTTCCACATATAAAGTTTATCCATTTGGTTTTTCTCTGTGGTAGGTTCCCCCTTGGTCCTCCCCCCTTCCATTCCCACCCCGGTTGTCTGGCAGTAATGTCTAAATAAAACCAGCCTCTTTCTATTTCACATCTTGCAGATTGATGAAATGCAGTGGGGCAAAGGAGTGCGTGAAGTCCCGTCCTCGGTCTGCAGCCTGCCTTGCAAGCCAGGAGAGAGGAAGAAGATGGTGAAGGGGATGCCGTGCTGCTGGCACTGTGAGCTCTGCGATGGCTATCAGTACCAGGCTGACGAGGTGACTTGTCTGCTCTGCTCATACAACGAGCGGCCCAACGAGAACCGAACGGGATGCCGCTCGATACCCATCGTCAAGCTGGAGTGGCACTCACCCTGGGCTGTGATACCTGTCTTCTTGGCTATGCTGGGAATTATTGCCACCATTTTTGTCATGGCAACGTTCATCAGATATAACGACACTCCCATTGTCCGGGCTTCTGGGAGGGAACTCAGCTACGTCCTGTTAACAGGGATATTTCTGTGCTACATAATCACGTTTCTGATGATCGCCAAACCAAACGTTGCCGTGTGCTCCTTCCGGCGTATCTTCTTGGGCTTGGGGATGTGCATCAGCTATGCAGCCCTTTTAACTAAAACAAACCGCATCTACCGCATATTTGAACAGGGCAAAAAGTCAGTGACAGCACCTAGGCTTATAAGCCCCACATCACAGCTGGCGATCACGTCGAGTTTGATATCTGTTCAGCTTCTAGGTGTCTTTATTTGGTTTGCAGTTGACCCACCCAACATCATCATAGATTATGATGAACAGAAAACTATGAACCCTGATCAAGCCAGAGGAGTTCTCAAATGTGACATTACGGATCTACAAATCATTTGCTCCTTGGGTTATAGCATTCTTCTAATGGTTACGTGTACTGTGTATGCCATCAAGACTCGGGGTGTCCCAGAGAATTTTAATGAAGCTAAACCCATTGGATTCACTATGTACACTACCTGTATAGTATGGCTTGCCTTCATTCCAATATTTTTTGGCACTGCCCAGTCAGCCGAAAAGGTAGGTGAAAATGAACGAACGCGCATCTGATGTATCAGGATTCATTGCAATTATAAATTACATACTGATGTTCAGCTTTACATAGATTTTAAAATGAGCTATCCAGTTCTCTCATCACTGAGACGTGCTATATATAGCACTATTTTCCTTCTCCATATAGCTGGTGGGCTATTCATTTGATAAACTGGCAAATGATCAATAGAAATCATATTAGCCATTAGTTTTATTGTTGCATCCATTTCAATTGTATCTTTTCAGTAGGATAAGTGGGAATTAGCTCTCATATTGTCCAGAAAGAGACATCTCTTAACTAAATCATTTTGAATACAAGATGTAAGCAAAAAACCTCTCAAAAAATAGTCAAGTAGACTCCTGCGCTTCTGGAGTTCAGCACTGAGGGCAGTGCTTAGTCTGACCAGTGCTGTGCTTCACAAATAGCAGCCTCGAGGCACATTTACACCGCAGGGTAAATAGTCTGTCCTGAGCTCCAGCTGCTGTGACTAGACTGACACTGCTATCTGTATTGGTTATTTTTAAACTAGCCCAGGCAGACTTACCCTATAGCTCATGGCAAGGGTATAGCCAGAGTCCTGGAATGAATGCCAGGTTGCTTCTCTTCATAAGTGAGGTCCACTTAAGCCCATGGAGCTCATTCACCAAAAGCTAGTCCAAAATGTTACGCTTAGGCGACTTAAGAAAAAGCATCCAACCGTTAGGATCTAATCCATTAGTTGGATTGTTACGAAAATTATTGCAAAGCGCCATCAGACTTGATTAAAAGATTCCCATTGGCTTTGGGAGGCTTCAGATGCTGCAGAGTCTGTGGCATGTCTGTCACAGAGCTCAAGTGCACGTCACTTCCATCCCGTGCTCGCAGCTGCTCAGGCACTGGCGGCTGAGGAAAGGAGCTGGGCAGCTTAGGGAAATACGCCCCGGCAATCAGAGCAGACGTGCATGTGAAGAGATGCAAAACTCGGCCAACTTTGGGCTTTGCTGCCACCCGAAATCAGGTTTAAGGTGCTCTTTGTGCATACATCAGATCAGCTCTGCTGGGACCAACCCAGCGTGTTGCAGCTGATGCTGTGATGGTTTAGGTACAAACGTTAACAGCCTCTCTTTTGTCTCACACAAAGTAACAAGGAGAAAGTCACTCCCTTCTTCCCATCATATTTATTGGTGAGGATGGTGGCCTTGGAGAAAGAAGGCAATAAACAGCCAGAGGACAATATGATTCATTTTCCAAAGCATTGTCAGAAGGTCTATTGGCAAGAAAAAACCTTTTCAGATTTGCACTTAAGTATTTAAAAAGGGAGAACCTTAGTCGCTCTGTGCATTTTGAGTAAACCATATTCAAGGGGTGAAAAATCAACCTACTATTACAATGTGCAGGGCTAAATCAAACTGGGAGTGACTGAGCATTGCAACTTCAGTTACCTCCCGGGTCCTGGGCCCCTTCTGCATGTTCCTGTTGCTGCCCAAGTGGCTCCAGCTGATGCTTGGTAGTAGAGATCTGGTTTTACTTCTCTCTGAATCTTGTTTGGAGGAGAGCTGTAATTTCAGAGTGATTTGGCAAATACCTGCAAGCCTAGTCTTTAGGGAGAAATGAAAATATTAGGCTGTCCTGAACTGCTGTCAGGCTCTTTTACTTTCCTCAGCTCTGACCCCATCTAATTCCCCAGCCCAGAGGAAACCACTGCCGCGTCTCCTTACCTGCGGCATACTCCAGCTGAATCTAGGCAGCATTGACCTCACCTCAAATGCTCTCCCACAGATCTTGCATGGATTTGGTAGCATACTGTCAGTTTTCCCCACTTACTGAACCCAAACTTCCCTGTGCAGGAAAGAGCTTTGGCTTCTTGCAACTTTTTTTTTTCCCCTCTGTCTTCATTTAACGTTTGTTCTTTAACACAAGACTTGGGCGAGCTTGCTGCTGTGGATAAAATTATTGCACCTTTTAAATGAGTGAGCAAATTTCAGATCTCAGCTAACACATCTCATTTTGTGGCAAGGCTATTGCTTCCAAATTTGCAGCTGTTAAACTTATGGGTTATTGAAATAAAATTGCAGGAAGACAGAGGTGGTGGTGTTCAGGCAGGTCCATGTTTTGGCTACAAGTCTCTTCCATAGGAAGGCACCTGCACCAGAGCTTTGTCCTTTGCAATTCAGGAGGTTGGTTGTACAGAGATTTGCAATTGTTTTGGCCTCAGTTCACCGGTGGAAGAGGGGATCACCCAAGAGGAAGCAGAGGTTATGGAGGTTTTTCATGTATCATCTCAGCTCTGCAATGGGCTTTACAGGCGTCCATTGCATCCCTAAAGGGAATTAATTTCAACTGGAAAGGAGGTCTGCCAAGTCTTACAAATGCCTCAAACACCTCTGCTCTCCCTGTTGAGGGAGAGATAAGAAACAGCGTAAGCAGCTTTAGACGCAGTTGGGCCTGTTTGTAACTTTGGTCTGATGCAGGGAGCACAGTGCCGCTTTTGTGCTCCTGCCTGGGAATGCTTTAGGCCTGCAGGTGACCAAGATGAAGTGCTTTAAATTGTTGTCTGCAAAGATTTAACCAGGCGATAGGAAGACCCAAAAAATTTCAAAGACTGCTGCCAGCATTGAAATCATTTAGTAGCAAAAGCTTTAGGTTTCCATGTAGTCACAGAGCTGAATTACCCTGTACTGCTTTGAAAGCATAAGATCCTTGTACAAATTCGAGTAGGACAGCAAAAGAGATGATGATTAACTCGATTTCACACAGAGCACAGAAGAGGGTACTGGGCAAAGTAAACAGCCCTTCACTTTGCTGTGGTCCAGCCAAGGGGAACATCCCGTGCCGCTGCACAGAGCCAGTGGCACTGGCTGCTTCTGGTCGCTGCAGCCCCTGGGCAGCCGCGGCAGGGGGGCATTCGGGACGGGGGACTTCAGTATCTGCTGGCTGTCACAGCCCAAACTCCTCATGTGCTGCTGGGGCTTATTGCAATTCCCTGGACTGAAAACTGCTACGTTTTGTCCAACAAACCGTCCAGTGTGATCATACCTGTGCAATGGGCATGCTGCAAGATGCATGAATGCACTTACATACAGTCCCTATAGATGGTCCACCTGGCACCCCCAGCCTTTAGGCACTGGCAGACATTGGCTGGAGCACGTTTGACCAGTACGCCGTGCCAAATCTGAGTGCTATACCTATGGCTTTGCTGTTGGGACTTTTCCCCCTTCTGCTCTACACAGAGATCAAGCTGCAGTAGCTTTGCTGCTTTGCTTTCTTTACTGTCTCTCTTTTTTTGAGTGGGGGTCAGGGGGTTGTATTTTTTTGTGATTGCTAGTGATTTCCTGTCAGATATTTTCGTTTGACCAGTACGCCGTGCCAAATCTGAGTGCTATACCTATGGCTTTGCTGTTGGGACTTTTCCCCCTTCTGCTCTACACAGAGATCAAGCTGCAGTAGCTTTGCTGCTTTGCTTTCTTTTCTGTCTCTCTTTTTTTGAGTGGGGGTCAGGGGGTTGTATTTTTTTGTGATTGCTAGTGATTTCCTGTCAGATATTTTCTCTGGAAAATATTGTGTTTAAGCTTAGCTACACAGGTCTTTGCTGAAATGGAAATTGCACCTGCTGAAAATCTCATACAACACAATCTTTTAAACTGAGAAATGGTGTTATATATAATGTTGTGATTTTCATTGTATGGATTTATTTTATTTTATCGATAAATACAAGCATAATGTTGTTTGGTAGAAAGCATATTGAAAATATCTACCTTGTTCAGTGTAGAAAATAACAACAACAGCAGCAAAAAGAACTAGATGTGTGCTGCAAGTAATTCATAAAAGGCAAATAATTCAAGCAGTAGCATTTGCAGCAGACTGGAGGGAGGCGGTGTGGTTTGAGGAAGGCCAGATATCGGAGTTCGCACTACAGTACGGAGATAAAACATTCAGTGTATGGGAGGTGGCTCGTGGAAAAAGCAAATTCCTGACCTTTTTACAGCTTGCATTTACTCAGCCAGTTTCTTTGTCGGCTATCTAAAATTTCAGAAAACACATGGTCAGTTATCATTTATAGGCTTAGTTTGGTAACGCAGCATGTCGTTTCCTCGTGGGCGTGAAATATGGTTGTCCTTACCACGTTTCACCATTCTTTGAGTTTCTTCGGCTTTGATGCAATGAGCAACGGCTATGTGACCTGGGAATCGCTGCTGTTGTCTAGGTTTTGGGGGTTGTGTTTCAGGGTTGGGTTTTTTTTGTGTGTTTTCCTATAACTATTAGTATATATTCTAAAATGCTGATGTAACCTTTGAGGACCAGGACACAGTACTGGGAACTGGAATCACGCCATGTCTTTGCTCAGAAAGATCCTTCCTTTAGTATGTATTTGGTAGAAAGCCACTAAATATAGAGAGGAGTCTCTACAGAGAAGAGGGGGTCACTTACTGTTCAACTCTGAGCAGCTCCTAAAGATCAAAACCATCATCAGCTGAAGGGTCAGTGGGTTTTGGGGGATGAGGACAGGGGACGATGTCCATCCCTGCCTGCTGCCCAGCTCCTGCCTTGGTGTTGCTCAGCTTGTCAACCCACACGTTTGGAGGGGGACTGTAGGGATGAAATGCTGCTTTTTACGCTCCTGGTGTAATTGTTTTTGACGACAAAACTATTTTAAATTCTCCGCGGATGTGTGGGTATCTTATCAGAAGCAAAGTGGCCTCAAAGAGCTGTTAAGCCAATTATAGGAGTCATAGCTCCACAGCAGAGTCAATACAAAGTGGCACTTGAAAAGAGCACAGATTGCTCTGTAAGGTTAGGCGAAGCACGGCTAAATCAATAAGCCAAATTGAGTCAAAATTTTAGAGTACGAAAGTGAAAGGATGGGAAGGGAGGCAGGTGGTGTGGGAACGCGTCCCGCGGGAAGCTGCACCTCGCAGCCTGCCCCGCACAGCCCTGCACCGGAGATTAATTAGTCCCTGCAGCCTCTTGGTTGCTTGTTCATCCACTTTACTTTGATTATCTGTTTCTG